ACCAGGCTAGGCACTCACTCTTAGCATACCGGGCTAACTTCAGCGGGTCTCTATCGATACCTCTAAACATCTTATCATTTCGAACCTTCCAGATATACCAGATTAGCCAGGGATAAGGATCCTTGTCCATTTCGGCTCCATTATAGCATTTTTCCTCTAGAAAAGGTAATCCATATTTGCATATGTGCTTTGTACTAGGAACATGGTAGGGCTGGAGGGTGTAGAAGATAAGACCCAAACTTGCATTGCAGGCGGGCACTGAAAGATTGCATGTGCAACCGTTTCTTCTGCCTCCCCACATCGTAAACAGTGGTTATCACATCTCATATGACGATAGTTCAAAGTACTTGTAACAGCCACATGACCTGTTATTAATTGCCACATAAGATGACATATCTTCTGGGGTGCCTTAACCTTCCAAGCATGTGCTTGGAGTTTTGTAATGCTAGATTCACAAACTACAGCTTCTTCCTCATTCTTTAGTATATTTCGTGCAACCCAATATCCAGATTTGACTGTATACTGTCCATTTCTTATATAACTCCAGCAATACTTGTCCCTGCGATGTGTTGCACTAATCGCCATGCTCTTAATAAGTGGTATATCAGCCGCATCTATGTAGTTCTCTAGCCGGTTCGGATCCCAAGCCTTCGTTTCTTGGTTAATGAGGTCGCTCACTCGCATATTCGGATATAATACTGGTCCAAATGGAATCGCTGACCGCGCTGGAATGGTAGGGATCCATGGATCCTCCCATACTCTTACCTCATATCCTGAGTGTATTTTCTGTCTAATCCCCAACATTAATAATTCTCAAGCCGCTGACATACTTGTCCACACATACGATGGGCTACTGACAGTGAGCTGTCGCAATGGCGAGCTTGATCGATAATACCGGCCTCTCAAAACTCGAGCTACCAGTGAGTCTGGGAATTGAGCTAACCTCCATAACTGCTTCGCTAACAGCGCCAGGTTAAATTCATGGATCATTCTAAACCCAATCCCACCTTTCTCTTAGATAAGCATAACTTATCCCATGTTGACCAGTGAATACCTCTCTTTGGGGGATTCGAACTCCACCAGAACTGTGCAATGGCACTTACTAAAGCATCACAAATCTCCAATGGAAGAAGGAAATAGGACATCACGTAAGTCGGGAGCGCTAACATGATCGACTTAATCATAACTTCTTTACCACCTTTTGATAACCATCAACCCGTCCATCCATTCACTCTATTCCGTAGCTTATCCTTTAAGAATGCAAAAAGTTTGCATTTAGATCTACTGATATCCTCTGGGATTCCTAAGTATGTCCCCATCCCTCCTTCATTCTGAATCCTAAGTGTGTTCTTAATCTCTTGCCTAGCATCATGTCCTATTCTCTTACCAAAGAGTAGAGATGATTTATCAAAATTGATGCAGTGTACTGAAGCTTGTCCATATTTTCTGACCACTCTCATTACTTCTTCACATTCACATTTAAGGGACAATGTCGACACAAGAGACAAGGATAGAAGAAACGTGGAAAGGGAAGAGTACTCTTAGGTCCGGAAATTAATACGTTCGGTTATTGATTTGGTGTTTATGAACCTCTCTAGCTCCAGAAGTCCAATGTCCAGACAAAAAGACAGCAACATGAGCCGTTTTTCTTCTTTCGCTCGAACAAAAACGTAAGAATATATTATTGGTTAAACTCCAAAAGCTTCCAAAATTAATGAAAAGCAGTTATTTTCTAACTTTTCATGTGAATAAAGTTAGATATGAAGGGTAACCCAAATGACTTTGGTGATGTTTGTATACGGCCCCATATCAACTCAAGTAAGCCATTCATGATTCACCTAGCTGTATTTCTTTATTCACATTTAATCTTCGAGCTGTATCAGTAACAAACATGTATATATTAATAATCTAGTGTTTTTTTTGTTTCAGAGTTAGGAGAAAGCAGTTGATGTTTTTGGTACATAATATGATATTGATATTTCACTTTATTCAATGTTTCTTAAGGAGTCCTTTTATTTTTGAAAAAAGGAGTCCTTATATTAATGCCCTTTTTCGCTCTGATTTATGCCAAATCACTGTAAAAAATTAGTCGTCTGATTTTAGTCCGTCTAGTCGTTTAGACGGCCGCCAATTTATTTATTTTTTATTTTTTTATTGTATATATATATATTTATAATAATATTTATTCTATTTATTTGATCTAAAGTTTAAAATGTAACTTATAATCATAATTTTGATGAAATTATATTATATTAAGTTTACCTATTCTATTTTTATGTGTTTATAAGGTTCTAAATATGAAAATATAGTAATGTTATATACAGTTAAAGATTAACATGTTTTATAACATATCAAATAATCTAAAAATATATGGGGTTACCGTTGCTAACAAAAAGTATGATTGTGGTGGACTTTCTACCTCTGGTTGAGAAGATCAAGAAAAGAATTGGAACTTGGACATGACGCTTTCTGTCCTATGCAAGTTGACTTCAACTGATAAACTCTGTTATTATGAGTCTCACTAATTTCTGGATGGCTGCATTCCGATTACCAAGTGGGTGTATTCATGAAATAGAAAGACTTTGCTCAGCTTTCTTGTGGTCTGGTGTTGAGTTGAATAGTAGGAAGGAAAAAGTCACCTGGAAGTAAGTATGTAGAACAAAGCAAGAAGGGAGCTTGGGTATCAGATCATTAAAGGAGATGAATGTGGTTAGTATTCTGAAGCTTTTATGGAGAATCCTCTCTTCAAATTCACTTTAGGTCAGATGGATAACGATATATCTCATTCGCAAGGGTTCGATATGGTCCATCAAAGAAAATTCGCAACTGGGGTCTTGGATTTGGAGAAAAATTCTGAAATATCGAGAGAAAGCAAAGATGTTTTATAAGTGGCAAAAAATCATTCTTTTAGCATTATAAATGGTCTCCACTTGGTCGGTTAATAGAGTTGCTGGGAAATGGTGGGTATATAGAGATGGGTATAGCAGCTAATGCTAAGGTTGAGGATTGTAGAAGCCACAAAAGAAGGAACCATCGAAATCAGATTCTGAATAGAGTTGAGTTGGAGATTGAGAATTTTAAAGAAAGGGGGAGGTTTGAGGAGGAAGATATCTCGTTATGGTGGAATGGGAATGATAAGTACAGGGAGAGATTCTCAACAAATGAAACTTGGCGAGTTATAAGAGAGAAATATCAAGTGCATAATTGGCATAAGGCGGTCTGGTTCAAAAATGCCACGCCTAAGTTTTCTTTCATAGTCTGGATTGCTATGCGTGACAACAAGGAGTATAATGGCGCAATGGGGTATGAATATTAACACCTCTTGCAAGTTTTTCACGAACTTATGGATCTATTGCCCATCTCTCTTTGAGTATCCATATTCTGAGCAAGTTTGGGAAGCTCTGGTGAAGGGGGTTCTCAAAGATCAATATACAACAAGCAGGCATTAAAAGGATCATCACTGATGAAAATCAAAATAAGCTTCTTCTGTTCACAACCAGATATTTGTTCCAAAGCAACTGTACACAGTATTTGGCAAGAAAGAAATACAAGAAGGCATGAAGAAGCAACTTCATTACCAGCTCTTTTTGAGAAGTTGATTGATAAGATTATGAGAAAAAAATTCTCTATAGTCAAGAGAAAAGATAGGAAGCTAGAAGAAGGGTTGTGGTTCTGGTTTTCAACAAAACAAAGCTAATATGGAGATGTGTTTTGGTTGAAAATAGAATTTTATTTGGATTTTTTTAAAAAAAATTGTATAGAAATTATAAGGAAGGACACACATAGTTGTAATTAGGTCTTTTTCTTCTGAATTAAATTTAATATTCAATTCAAAAAATAATAATCTAAAATATTATTTTTATAATTTATGCTTGATTTCTGATTTTCTCTCTATGCACTAAGAGTTTGACTGGTTACAATGCAACGATTGCGGTTGTATTTGTGGGTGTTTGCGGATGCGGGAGATTGCGGTTTTAAACGTTAGTAAGAGACTTATACGACTGGTTCAACGGTTAAAAATTGTTGCGTTTACGGAATACTTATGACTGGTTTATCATCAAATACAACAGTGGTTAAGTAATAAATTAACAATATTTATATTTTATATAATTATCAAAATATTAAAATCATATTTTTATGATAAATATAAAAAATTTATTGAGAATGTACTATTAAATTTTTAAAAAATTAAAGAAAATATTTTTTGGAAATTTATAATATAAATATTTCAGTATTTCAATTATTTTAGTTTAAAATTTTAATTGAATATTATTATTTTTTATTTATTTAGTTTTCTGAGAAAAAAAAATTATCCTCCCGCAAACACTAGCTGGAACCAGCTTTTGAATTTTAGAGATTCAGAGCAATTTGAAGCGGTTTATAACATTTTCTGTGATTGTTACAAAACGCCAACAATCGCTATCAACCGCAAAAACTACGTTTGCTGGTTATAGTGGGAGAACTAATCAGGCCCTAAGACCATCTCCAACAATAGAACCTTCATTTGAGATCTAAATCATTTTTTTAATTAAAATTAATCAAAAAACAAAATTTAGATACTTGTAAAGATTTAACTCTTCCAATGATAGAACCAAACAAGGGTTCTAAATTTCAAAAATTTGAAAATTTGTCATAAAATAATTATGGTTAAGTTAAAAGCCTATATTATGCAATTTTGTATACTAAACGGTGTCAAAGTTACACAACGGATGCAAGACGAGGATGTGGCTATGTGCTAAAGAACTACATTCCTACCAGCAGCACGCCATGACTGAAATCCAATCCAAGGTATCATGTGAATGCACATCTTCTGTCTGATTAACAGCCTTCAAGACTTCAAAGAGAACGGTAGCAGTTTGATATGCCTAAAATTAAAAAAACCTATTATAACAAGAGATAAAAGTGAAAAGCTAAGGAGATTATACCATCTTGATTGTTAGTGTTTGCTGTGTTCTTGAAGAAGGGTGTGAGAAGCTCAGAAGGAACAGGAAGAGAAGCCATCAGTACTTGAATATATTCCTCTGTCTCTCAAGCTCTTGCCATTGAGCTTCACTGAAAGCTGCACCTGCCTTTTCACTCATGCTTCTTCCCATCACACCACCAGCGAAAAGCACCAACCAATCTAGTAAGAAGACATTTGTATTATATTTAGATGCCAACATAATCTTGTAATGCATAAAGATGGAAATTTCACTAAGGTAATAGAATGTTTACTGTTTCTGGACCCTCTTTAATGATAAGATCCTCTAAATTCTTGGCTAATCTGGTTGAGAACTCCTCTTCCGTTTCACCTAGACAAACAGTTCCAAGGTTAAAATCAAAATAAAACGGATTACATTTGTTACGAAAGAAAAGAATCATTGGCACTTCTATAGAGGAACTAGATTGATCGTACCCGGACAAACTTGCTGATATTAGAGTGGAGCCGTGGTATCTGAAGGTCACAACACCAAAGTTATAACCACTTTTAAGATCTTATAAACACAGACAACACACAAAATGACAAGGAAATATCCTTTTCTCACGATTTCTTTCTGGCAATAAATTTTTTCTTCTCAAGTCTCCCAAGTGCATTATTGTAGTACCAAACCAGCTTGACCTGCATATACATAACATAAGATTTATGAGCAACTCTTATAGGTCTACTTCTTAGAAAACAGGGGATAAATGTATATGGTATGTAGTTATGGAAACCTGGTTATCATTGGCCTCGGATCCACTGTTTGTAAGAAAAGCTTTGGCCATTTTGTTAGCCGTGAACATGTTTAGAAGATCCTTAGCAAGATCCTGTTTTGCAGGGAAAAAAAACATTACAGTGATTAAATTCTCTTTGATTACCCATCAAGTATACCGCCCTGAGTCTTAACACCACACTGAAACACATTATAATGATGAAACCAAAAAGACAAAAAGTCTTTTGAGTACCAGAGAAGGCTTAGTAGTACGGTTCCAAAAGGAGTGATAAAACGGCAAGGTTTTCAACTGCTCCACGGCAGCAGAAACAAGCCGTGGCTCATTTCCTCTTGTACCCCAATCACACAATGCTTAGATTAGATCCATGCATATCTTATATAAAGGGAAAATGAGGAATAATACCCAAGGCAGTACACCATATAAAACTGACCCAACAATTGTTTGCTTCTGGGGTGATGCCCCTGTAGTAAAGATCCTCGAACCAGACATGTACTGTGAAGAAGCAGCAGCATACCTGTTCTGCAAAGTTCCGATTCCACCGATTGAAGTGGCACATGAAGCCAGCGGTCGAGAGGATGCTTCCGGCGTTGGATTTTAGGTTCAACCAGTGGCTGATTCGATATACAGCCGGCGGTTTCAAGGATTCGTCTGAATCGATTCATCGCAAGAGAGAGACAACATGATTTTTTTCCGCGAAAGAGAGAGAACACAGACCCTTTTTTTCTCCTTTTGTTTAAACCCAGTAACCAATGAGAGAAAACCACGTTTTATTTGGATATGCATCCAAAAACATCTACAATTAGATGCAACTCTATCTAATTTTCATATTTTTGATTTAATTAAAACCCAATTAATAGATGGAACCTCACTTAGAAGTGGGTTAGATATGCCTTTGGAGATGGTCTAAGTCCAACCCTAGCATCTGATTAGCGCGTTCCTAAACAAAGGGATTACTCCCAACAGAAAAGAGGTAGAATAAGGATAGAGCCCACAAACAATTTTCTCTGGCGCAAACCAAACCGTCACATGTTAGCGAGGGTCTTGTGGCGGCCTCGTGGCATCGTATATGGACCACATCGATCTCCTCTGCGCTGTACTACTTACTAAAATATTGTTTTCAAAAATTCTAGTAAAAGTACACATCTCAACTAGCCACAAATACAATGATTAGTGTTGAAGGAAGTATGGAGCTATACTACTTTTCTATTCCAAAAGTTAATACAAAATATAAAAAGTTCAAAAGAAGCATATATAGATCCCAATATATCCATCACAGCCGCACATCTCGAGAATGTAACGCCACGAAATTAATCTACACCGTATTAAAATAATAATTATTTATTCCCATTATTTCCGAAGTTAATAAAAGCTTCCTTGTCCGCAATTAGCTACATCATTCGCTACACTAACATTAGAGAGACAAGACTCGCTTCACTTCCGAATCAAGCTAGAGATTCTCCGATGCCTTCAGCGACAAGATGGTGGCCAATCCACTTAACTTCATCTGGATCTGAGCCTGGTTACAGAAGCTGGCGCTGGCTGAGCTGGAGTCGACCGGAGCTGAGTTTCTTGTCCGTAATGGTGGACGACGTTGTGTGGAAAGTAGTGATGGCGTTCGAGTCGGTGGCTTTGGTCTCGATGCTTGGTTTCTTTTTCCTCTTCTATGGCTGCACCGTCTGATTTTGAACTTCACTTAAGATATTTCTTTTTGTTTACTGCTGGAGAGTTTTGTATTTCTTTTATTTGTTATTAATTTTTGCTTATCCTTGTAATTTTATCTTCCACTGTATGCTAGTTGGTTATGCTACGGCGGAGATACTGATGCTGTGTTTCAAAGAAGCGCGTGATTCCCACTCGCGTCTTGCTTTAGTTTGTGTTTTTTTTTGTAACTGTAGTTTGTTTTAGTTTTGGTTTCTCGCAAATCGCAATGAACGTATCGTGTTATGTTTTTGGTAGTTTATATTCGAATCCTCCAAAACTAGAAAAATAAAAAGTCTATGTTCATCAGAATGATTTCATTTTCTAAGTATTTCCATAATTTTTTTTTCAAAACGAAACGGGATTGGTTTTTGACTTTGAGTTTGAGATGTGTGTTAATATTTTTTTTTTTTTTTTGACAACGAACGGCTGATCTATTACTCAAGCTTGAGGTGGTCTGGAAATCCAGACCGGAATAGAACAACCAATAAACATGAGTTCCCGATAAAAGGATCGGGCAGTTTTAGCTAGGTGATCAGACACAGCATTTGAAGATCGAGGTACATAAGAAATCCTAAAATCTGGGAAGCAAATCCTCAGCGTCGAGATCCTCTCTAGTTCCGTTGAGAAGCTCGGCCATCCATGGGGATCCTTGAGCATTGCTATCAACTCCTTGCAATCCGTCTCAAAGCTCTGGCATGGCGAATGTTGAAGCATGTTCTCCATTGCCCACCGCAGCGCTTCCAGCTCCGAATGCAACGCCGATTCCATTCTACTCACATTACACATCCCCATTAATTGACTTCCGCCCATGCTATCCTTCCAGTCCCAACCACATCCGGAAAATTGATCGACAGAGGTCCAAGAACCATCTATCATGCAGATATCACATAGGCTTATGACCTGTGTATCTGTATTGCCATCCTCCTGTGTAACCTCCATCCCCTGCTCATTAGCTTTGAACCAGGCTAGACACTCGCTCTCTGCATACCGGGCCAACTCCAACGGGTCTCTATCTATTCCTCTGAACAACTTGTCATTCCGAGCCTTCCAAATATACCAAATTAGCCAAGGATAAGGATCCTTGTCTAATTCTGGCCCACCGATGACTTTCTTCCGCCAGAATAGATAATCCATATTCGCGTAGGTGCTTTCGAGGGGAAACAAAGCCGAACTGGAAGGTATAGAGGATAAAGCCCTTACCTGTAGCGCCGGTGGGCATTGGAAAATTGCATGTGCAATTGTCTCATCCGGTTCTCCACACCGTGGGCAAAAGTTATCACATCTCATGTGCCTATGATTCAAAGCACTCGTAACAGCCACCTGTCCCGAAATAATCTGCCACATAAGATGACACATCTTCGGGGGCGCCTTAACTTTCCAAACTTGTGCTTGAAGCCTTGTATAGCTAGGTTCATCTACCAAATTCTCCTCCTCCTTCATCAGTACATTACGAGCTACCCAATAGCCAGACTTTACTGTGTATTGCCCACTCCTAGTGTAACTCCAGCAGAAAGAATCTCTCCGGTGGGTTGAACTGATTGCCATACTCCGTATGAGAGGTATATCATCAGTGCCAACATATAGTGCTAATCGATCCAGGTCCCAAGACTTTGAATCTTGATTGATAAGATCGCTCACTCTCATATTTGGATTCAGCACCGGGGCTGATGCATGCGCTGGTCGTGCTGGGATTGTGGGAATCCACGGATCCTCCCACACCTTAACTTCATACCCTGAGTGAATTTTCTGTCTAATCCCCAATAGCAATAACTCCCTTGCAGCGGAGATACTTGTCCACACATACGAAGGACTACTGACAGCTTGTTTTCGCAAAGGCGAACTTTGTCTATAATATCGTCCTCTCATAACCCGAGCAACCAGTGAATCCGGATTCTGTGCCAGCCTCCATAGCTGCTTTCCTAGTAATGCCAGGTTAAACTCATGTATCATTCTGAATCCAATTCCACCTTCCTCCTTGGGCTTGCACAACTTATCCCATGTTGTCCAGTGTAGGCCTCTCTTCGGTGGGTTTGAGCTCCACCAAAACTGTGCAATGGCACTAGCCAAGGCGTCACAAATCTCCAATGGGAGCAAGAAACAAGACATAACATATGTTGGAAGAGCTAACAAGATTGACTTGATCATCACTTCTTTTCCTCCTTTAGACAACCATCTACCCGTCCATCCATTCACTCTGTTCCGAAGTTTGTCTTTCAAGAAAGCAAACAGCTT